CGTCCTACCCCTGTTAAACCAACATTAAGTAGTTGATTCCGAAGTCAGTGGAGGATAGACTTGGAGAGTTTACTTGTTAACTAAAAAAAAAGATAATTGAATAGGAGTTCAGGAAAAAAATAAAATAAAAAATAATTGAATAGTACTCTTTCACATTGAGTGTGACCTACATATTTTGTAAGCTCTATCTTATGTAAGAATGTTGTGTCTAATTTTATACATCCAAATTTTTTTAGTTTTGATTCCTCTTTAAGATTGTCATTACCTAGAAGTTATTTAGTAGTTTTGAGCATGGTCAGATTGTGCATTGTGATTAATTGAGAGGATTAATTGATAATTGATGATTTGTTAAGAGCAAAAACATGCAGTGTTCTTGAGAGACCTAATATTTTTCATCATGAGTAATATTAAAAACTCTAAATATTTTATTAAATTTTTTATCAAATATCTCATATGAGCGTGGAATCCATATCATATGGATCCCATTTGATCCCACACCTAGAGACATTTGAAATTTTTTTTATAGAAATCTTTAGCATTTTTGTTTTCATCATAACCAGAGTGGAGCAATTCAGTCAAGAGACAAAGTTGAGATGCCTAAATAATTTCGTCCTAATCAAACCGGAGCAGTTTAGTCAAGAGACAAGTTGAAGGGACTTGTGTGCCTTTATTGGGTTTTTTGCTCATAGCCATAGTGGAGCAGTTCAGTCACGAGACGAAGTTAAAAGACCAAAAAATTTTCTTCATAGCTAGACTGAAACAGTTCGGTCAAGAAACAAAGTTTACAGAAAGTTGAAGCGACTTGTCTGCTTTTATTGACTTTAACCAAAGGGTCTTTTCCTTTATTTATTTATTTATTTTTCAAAAACAAAAAGCCTAGCCATTAAAATTCTATCAGGGTCACGTTATGATCCTATGTCTGTCCAATAGAAGAGTTATGTGGCCATTTTATTATACAAATAAGTCGACATGATCATGCGCAAATGGGTGGACGTGGACACACAATTACCAGGTGATCTAAATAAAAAAATTTCGCCGTTTAAAAAAATAAAAAAATAAAATCAATTCAAAATTTTTAAATACTTTATGAATTGAGTTTGAAGGCAACTTCAATTTGAACTTTAGATCGATTAATTTTCAATGGATCAAATTTAAATATCTCAAAATTGACTTGACTCAGCTAGATTAATTTGCGATGTCAAGGTCAAGTATACCTATCCAACCCCATCTAAAAAAAATAAAAAATTATACCTATCGAATCATAGCACCTTTAATGCAAAGACAAAAAATTTATAATTTAACTTTTTAATACCATTAATTTAAAAATATTTTTCTGAACCTGAAATGAAATTATTCGTTAACTACCTTGCATGTCACTGAAAAGTAGTCCATGAATCATGGCCCATATGAAATTTATTTCCTCGGAAAATTTTTTGTTGGGGCCATATGGATATTTTCCATGGAAATTTTTGCTGTCATCTGTCACTTTGAATATTATTGTTTGGATAAATTTTGTTTTCCACTTTTATACTTTGTATCTAATCTCACTTTATTCTACTTAGCAAAAAAAAAAATCCATAATCTTTTAATTGCCCCAATCAACTTGTTAGATTTTGAGTTAAGTTGCAATTGAATCCAATCATATAATGTCATTTTGAAAACTAACAAAGGGATTAAAATAGAAGAACTGAAGTGAAGTTTTGATAAAAAGTATTAGGTTGTTGAGAAAGTAAGGATGTGTTTGATTGGAGGGATTAGGGGGGGACTATCTACTGTTCGGATTGTAATTCGAAGGAAGCTTTTTATCCGGCGTTTTTTTTTTTTTTTAGTTGGGGTCCAGCTAGACTCTTTATCTCCCATATGAGGTACTATTGTATCCTAGGGGGTGTGGGACAATTTCCATCGGACTATTTACTATTGGGATTAGGTGGTGAAATGACTATTTTGACCCTCTACTATTTAATTATGTATTATATTTAGTAAAATTCAATAAAATTTAAATGTCTCAATTTAAAAATAAAATAATTTTATTTAACTTTTTTATTGATGTTTTATTTATTTAATTTTTTAAAATAATTTTTTGTAGATATTTTATTGATGTTTTATTTTAAAATTTTGTTTATATTTTATTTAATTTCATTATTTAAATTTTAATAGATGTTTTTTTTTTAATTTCATTATTTAATTATTATTATTTTTAAAATAAATTATTTAAAATTTTAATTAAAAAAATAAAATATATTTTTATTGATATTTTATTTCTTTTATTTATTTAATTTTTAAAAAATAAATTTATTTAATTTGTGTAAAAAATAAAATAAACTAAATTTTTATTTAATCTAACTAAAAATAATTAAAATATTAAAGATATGTTTAATATTACTATTACTTAGTAAACAATTGAAAAAAGGTAAAATAATCTTTTGCTCATTTATCCTATCTAGTCCGTCCAACCATACATTGGATTCACTAAAAATAATCATTTCCAGACATCTAATCCCATGAAAAAATAAGCATGGGATACACATCAAATCTAACCAAATAATTTAGGGGATTCACAGTCTGAAGATTCAAATCCGATAGATTTTAATTCCCTCTAATTCAATCGTCCAATCAAACATATTCTAAGAGCCATACATAGCTACACATGCTAAATTGTATAATTTAATAGGTAGAAGGTTGCTTCCCACAATTTAAGTTGCACTTGTAATTTAAATCTCAAATGTGATAATAGTAACTAAAATAATGACAGTGGCCTTTTAATTTTCTTTTCTTTTTTTGGTTTTATATAAAAAAAAATGATTTATACAAAGAAATTTTATACAAAAAATACCTCCAATGATGTGTCTATGATATTTTTTATATTATGATAGATAATAGTAAATGTTTTAATTAAAAATGAAGAGATCATAAAAATCACATATAAAAATTCTATACACAAATAATGATTATCTATGTATTAAATAAAATTATTTTTTTAGTGTTGTTAATTTAAAATTATATATTAAATAAAAAATATAAATTTAAAATTTAAAATTTTTAGTATTGTTAAATTATAAATTATAGATTACCAATTTAAAATTATATATTAAATAAAAAATATAAATTATAAATTACAAGGGTAAAATAGTATTTTGAACATTTATTCTTATCCAGCCCGTCCAACCAAACATTGGATGCACTAAAAATAGTCTTTTACAGATATCTAATCCCATGAGAAAACAAATACGGGATACACATCCAATCCAACCAAATAGTGTAGAAGAATCACAATTCCTCAAGTTCGATAGATTTTCATCACCCCTTATCCAGTCCGTCCAACCAAATAACCTTTGGGGATGTTTATTTAGGGAGATTAGAGTATGGGATAGGATTCCATGTCAAATGCATATGCTAGTCCGACATTTGGTTCAAAAAATATAAGTCAACCAGACTATCTTTTTTTGGTACACCGGAAAAGGAACCAATTGGACTATCAATCCCTTATTTGTGAGATTATTGTATCCTATGAGAGGTATGAGATAAAAAGGGTGGGATAACTCCTCTGGATTGGAAAGTTAAAATGACATTTTTTGCCCTCATTTTTTGCACTCAATTTTTTATTTATATTATTTTTAATTATACTTAGTAAAGTAAAATAAAATTTAAAAATCCCAACTAAAAATTAAATTAAATTAATAATCCAATGGATTATAATTCCCCTTTAAAAGTTCAATTTATTTAAAAGTTCAAATTAAATAAAATTAAAAATCTCAACTAAAAATTAAAATTAACTTATACAATTTTTATTGATGTTCTATTTATTAAATTTTTTCAAGTTTTAGTAAAAAAATTAAATAAAATAGGATACACATCGGATTTAATAGAATAGTCGAATCCAAGCATCTAATTCTATGACTAAACAAAAATATGATTTAATATAATAATCTAATCCAGACATCTAATTCCATGACTAAACAAACATAGAATACAAATCCAGTCTAATGAAATAATCCGATAATAATATATCTCAGGACTAACAGTCTGATGGATTACAATATTCCCTTATCCAGTCCATCCAAACAAACACACTTTTTGTTTTTTATAGAAGAATTATCATAATAATAAATAAATAAAAAGGGATAATCTTATGACACTCAGTCCATAAATTATGAATTTTCTTTACTTAAAAGTCTAAATATGTCCAATAAACTCTACAAAATGACCAAAATATCAATTTTATGGAAACTATCTCAAAGTTTGGATTTCCTTTAGTCAAAACTCCACACTTTAAAATATTAATTAGGCACTACAAGAATTTACACATTTAGCGACCACTTTTGCCGACCAAAAAAATTTTGGTCGCAAAAAAATGACATTTGGCGACCAAATATTAATTAGTCGCGAATGATTATTATTTTTGGTGACCAAATATTATTGGTCGCAGAAGGTTATATGTTGGCGACCAAAAAAAGAGTTGGTCGCAGAAAGTGGTATGCTTTTGCTGACCAACTACAAATTTGGTCGCGGAAAGTCACATATTTTTTGGCGACCAAAAATTTGGTCGCCAAAAACTTGTTTTCAGCAACAAAAAAAATTAGTCGCCAAATTAGTACTTTTAGCGACTAATATTTTAGTCGTCGTTGATTGAGATTTGGCGACTAAAAAAGTTTGTCGGCGAAGGTACATTTTCTGCGATTAATAAGGTCTTTTGGTCGCCAAAAGTTTGGGAGGGAAATTTGATTTTTAGTGGGGGCGGGAATTGAAATGTTTTGGCAACAAATAAATTTGGTCGCTAATTTAAAAACGACCTCGTTTTGTACCATGAAATCAGAAAAAAAAAAAAAAATCAAATCGGTGCCCTCTCTCTTTGTTTCTCGGTCCGCCCTCTCCCTCTCTGTGTTCTTCCTCTCAATCGGTGCCCTCAATCGGTGCCCACTCTCCGCCAAATCGTCTCTGCTTCCCGAGACCGCGCCATCAAGCTGTGGAACACTTTGGGTGAGTGTAAGTACACGATTCAGGATGGTGATGCTCATTCCGATTGGGTCAGTTGTGTTCGATTTAGCCCTAATAATCTTCAACCTACGATTGTGTCTTTGTCTTGGGATCGGACTGTGAAGATTTGGAAGTTGACCAATTGTAAGATTAGGGCTTCGCTTGCTGGGCATTTTGGGTATGTGAATACGGTGGCCGTGTCGCCCGATGGGTCGCTGTGTGCGAGTGGTGGGAAAGATGGGGTTATTTTGTTGTGGGATCTGGCTGAGGCAAAGAAGCTTTACTCGCTCGATTCGGGTTCGATTATTAATATGAATGTATGAATGTATTGTATTGTAAAAGCCTAGATGTCTTAGGATATTTTCAATTCCTACATTAAGTATACATGTCAATGGATCAATACTTTTTCTTACTGTAGCCTCTATGATTTTTGTTTATTTGTTTTTACCCTAATCAAAGATATTAGAATTTTATTTTTCTTGTCTTCCTTCACAAGGAACTCTGAATTGCAGCCTGATGGATTAGCTACATCACATGTGGTTTAAGATTGCCGAGAATCCTCTTAGTTTTGTTTTTGTGTTGATTTTTCTTGCTTCATACTAATTTAGGTAATATGTATAATTATGCAACATCATTGCCAGCATATGTGAGGGTAATGAGTTTACCATTGTCCATCTATCGTGATGGTGGATCTTCTCATCTCCTTCTGACATGGGTTACTTTTTCATGAACCATGTTAACCTTCTTGTGGCAATATATTTCCACTCTTTTTAGTTGTGGTGTTCTCTAGGGCACGTCAAAGATTGTGTCTGTTACTGTTTGCCTTCTTTTCTTTCTATAATTCCTCTACAAGATCTGCTTAGATATGTTCTGTATTAGAGATTTATTATGTTGGGCCTCCATTTGGTTATGGACAAACCATTCCCTTTGTGGATGTCTAATTGGGGAGTTAATGTTTCTACATGCAAATGTCTAATAGCATGATCTTGTTTCAAATTTACTTATTAAAAGGAAAATCATGATCTTGTTCCAATTTTAATTATGTATTTTTTGTTGTTTTAAATAATTTCTAGTAGTTGGCATATATATTATTGAGGGCTATGACGTTCTGATTCTTTTTATATTATGTGGTTGTTGAATTGTGAGTTTTTACCTGTGTCTTCCAAGTGTATGCAAGATTGATTTCAGTACACCTATTGTGTATATATATATTTTAGTGTCTATCAGAGGAGTCATGTGTTGGTTTCCTCCATCTTCTAATGTAATTCTGTTCAAGTATTGTAAAAAACTATGTTTTTTATTTTTTAAATTATGCTATTTCATAGTTTGTGGACAGCTTTATATGCGTTAACGTCGTTCGGTCATTGTTGCAGGTGGGCGTCCTCCACCGGAAGAGGTGGCATGACTGTTTTGGGAAAAGTTGCTGTTCCAAAACCTTTAAACTTACCCAGCCAAAGGTATCTAGCTTGCTGCTTAATTATTTCCATTTTCCTATGTTAATTATGGGGGTTCTCTCTCTGAAATTCTGTTCAATGTTGTTTCAAGGTTAGAAAATCATGGTCTAGACTCAAGTGTGGAAATTGTTCCCAAGTGAGTAATACACAGTCTTGGTGATATATACTCTCTCTCTCTCTCTCTCTCTCTCACACACACACACACACACACACACGTACATGTGCAAGCACTTGGAGACATGCACACCTTTTTATGATCTTTCCTCATCTGATAATTCAGTTGCATGGGGTCCAACTGGTGTCTCAGAGAAATTGGTAGGATGGCATAACTAAGTTCAGCATTAAATATTCATGTTATAAATTTTTAGTTACAAAAATATTTATTGTCTTGCTTCTAGATATTAAAAAAATTGCTGCAATACATCGTCTCAAATCTTATTTATATGAATGATTAGATTTCTTAGTTGGAGCTGCCTTTTTCCATTTTTAACCCTTTTTGTGTTTATAATAGTTACTCATGTTGAGGTTGCTGCATTATCTCTTGGCAACTTGACTTAACATATTATGTATGCAGGGAGTGGCAACCTCCAAGAAAGATGGGTTCTCTCTGAGTTCTGGAGACTTTTCGACACTTGGTTCAGAAAAAGACAATTCTGGAAAGAGTCACGACTCACAAGGTGACAGTGCTTGCATATAAGAACTTCTATGTCAGTTGTCTTCTGTTTGATACTTCTCTTACAGTTCTCCACTTCTATTACATTTGTTTTTGGTTGCCACTGTGATTGATGCATTACATCATTTTTCTACTAGGTTGGTACTCTCTACAATGATCAGAGTAGTCATCTCTTTTTTGTATTTTTCTCAAGTTTGGGTCTTGATAGTTCCATACCTTGCTTGGTTCGAGTCTTGTCACTGTACTTAACTGCTCTACAATATAATAAAAGTCCAGGAATTACAATACTTCAGGTTGTGGCAATCTTTACTCTCTTTTTCTCATCAAGTTTGAGCGAAAATTTAGTTAAAAGTTTGATCTGCTATGCAACACTCCGATTCTTACTCTCTCCTTTTTCATCAAACCTGTTTTAACCATTTTTGATGAAAGAAAATCATCTCCCATCCTAATCATTTCAGAATTTCGTCGAATTTGACTAAAAATATGTGGTGAAGGATTTGGTTCATCCTTTTGCTGAAAATTTTGCCTCTCCCTTGATTTGATACAAGTTCGATTTGATACAAGTTCGATGAAATAATTGGAGCTCACTTGTTTAGCCCTCTATTCTTCAAATTAAAATTTTGGTCAAAGAATTGGTGAAGGATTAGAGGTGCTCTATTAGCATGCATGTAAAGGCTAATTGTTGCGACCCATTTGTTTTGGAACTCTGTTTTGCAGAAACATTACTTGGTCATCCTTGAAGGGTTTTCTTTCTCCAAAATTGGGAGAACTCTCTTCCTTGCAAGAACTGTATGCTTTCCATCTGTACATCCTACACAATTTTCTCTCTTATTTTTTTGTCTTCCAATTATTCTGTTATTTGTTAAGTAGAGCACAAAATGTTTGAAAACTTATTCTGAGAATGTTTGAAACTTAATCTAACATCCTGATGCATTACAGAATTTTGCATGGGAACAATCTGATTGGTTCAATACCCAAGGAAATTGGCATGCTAAAGTACCTAGAGGTCTTGGATTTGGGAAATAATCAACTATCAGGTCCAATTCCTTCCGAGCTTGGGAGCTTGACCAGCCTTCTGAAAATGTAAATGGTGTTTGACATTTTGTTTCTTCAATTGAGTTTATGTGTTTGCTTCTGGTTTGAGATTTTGCTTTTCCTGTTTCAGGAACCTTCAATCCAATGGGTTGACTAGAAAGCTGCCTTCTGAACTTGGCAATTTGAAATACCTTGAGGACCTTCGACTGGATAGGAATAAGCTTCAAGGAAACGTTCCTGCAACTAATAGTTCAGATTTTACATCCAGCATGCATGGGATGTAAGTAAAAGATTCATATATAATTACACTATAATTCCTCTAAATGTTGCAGTTATCTGTTTGGGGATCGATTTGATGCGCTTTCACTGAAAATAGTTGCTTGTAGTAAGAATGTGAATAATATTAATTTAATTTTTTGTGGTAAGTAAACATGTGAACTTGAATGAAGAAAATAAAAATGTATAACTATATACTTGCACTTCCTATTCCTGTATAATTCTTCCATCAGCTAGAATATTGATGAGCTGATCAACACAATCTATAAATTCATAGTGTGGCATCTTTGTGAACAACCCATTGAACTTCTGTGATACAAAGTTTACACATCGCTTGTTTAGGTGTTTAAATATGATTCAACGTTGTACATTTTTATTGGGTTACATCTAAGATTACATCTAAGATTCAAAGTTGTGCTCTTTAAATATGATAGATCTCATGTTGACTTTGGTGGAGTCTATACAGATTCTGAGATGTTGAAGGATGTATTAAGATTTAGCAGACAAGAACTCGAAGTAGCATGTGAAAATTTCAGCAACATTATTGGGTCCTCTCCAGACAGTCTAGTCTACAAAGGGACCATGAAAGGTGGGCCTGAGATTGCTGTAATATCGCTTTGCATTAAAGAAGAGCATTGGACAAGCTATCTTGAGCTTTATTACCAGAGAGAGGTAAAGTAATTAGATTGATGGTGAACATAATTAGATATGTGACAAACGACTTTTAAAATCTCACTTATTTTTACAATTCAGGTAGCTGATTTGGCAAGATTAAATCATGAGAATACAGGAAAATTACTGGGTTATTGCACAGAGAGTAAACCATTTACAAGGATGTTGGTTTTTGAATATGCATCAAATGGGACGTTGTATGAGCACCTCCATTGTAAGAGTAAAGCTTGTTATTTCTAATAGTTGGTTACTCCAACATGTTTCAGTAGCTGAAATTTGAGCTTTCTTTATAATTGCAGATGGAGAAGGATGCCCATTATCTTGGACAGGGCGAATGAAAATTGTTATAGGCATTGCTCAGGGACTCAGATACCTTCACACACAACTTGACCCACCTTTTACTATATCCGAGTTGAATTCTAGTGCTGTTTATCTTACAGAAGATTTTTCTCCCAAGGTATCTCAAAGCCTTGAATATTGCAGCGTGTTTAACATTTTACTCTTATTTATGCATTTAAAAAGAATGTCCTGGTCATGCTGAGATTGAGAAGATTGGTTCTTTTTCACCTTTTTTCCCCTAATATTTCTTTATTTTATTTTTGAATTGTAATGCATTTGTTTCCTAAGTAATTATTTTCCATTACCCATTTTCTTTCTTTCTAGATGTTTTTGTTTTGCCTTTCAAATCCTGCTATAGTACAGAACCCTATACAAGTTTTTAATCATTGAGGACATTTGCTTCACTTTTTGCTGTAGCTAGTTGATTTTGAAAGTTGGAAGTCTTTATTAAATTTTTTCAAGTTTTAGTAAAAAAATTAAATAAAATAGGATACACATCGGATTTAATAGAATAGTCGAATCCAAGCATCTAATTCTATGACTAAACAAAAATATGATTTAATATAATAATCTAATCCAGACATCTAATCCCATGACTAAACAAACATAGAATACAAATCCAGTCTAATGAAATAATCCGATAACAATATATCTCAGGACTAACAATCTGATGGATTACAATATTCCCTTATCTAGTCCATCCAAACAAACACACTTTTTGTTTTTTATAGAAGAATTATCATAATAATGAATAAATAAAAGGGATAATTTTATGACACTCAGTCCATAAATTATGAATTTTCTTTACTTAAAAGTCTAAATATGTTCAATAAACTCTACAAAATGACCAAAATATCAATTTTATGGAAACTATCTCAAAGTTTGGATTTCATTTACTCAAAACTCCACACTTTAAAATATTAATTAGGGAAGCCTCTATTTATACACCACCTTTCATCTCAAAGCACACCATTAATTGATTTAATTTTTATTACAATATTAACCTTATGTAAAATGACCACAAAGGATAAAAGGCTATGATGCACACCTTTTGTAAAATTACCATAAAGGACTATAATGAATACAATACACACCAAGTATCTAAAACGTTACTTACGTATCTTCTCTCTCAAGAATCCAAAAACCTTGAGACGAAAACCAAAAACCCTTAAACAAACAACCAAAAATATACGTATTATTGAAGATTTTGATTGGACTGAATGATGGATGCATCTAGCCATATTTGTTAATGCACGACGTTGTCTCTCTAAGGCAGTAGGCAGAATACGTGAAGGGTCATCCATTTCTGAAAATGAAACAAAAAACAGTGAAGGATAAGTCCGTTCGATAGTACAAAACTGAACAATCACATTTTGTTTAACACTTTAATTTCGAACAACATGATTATATTCGACAGTCTACATCCTAATAGTTTAGTTATATTCGACACTAAAATGTCGAACAAATTTACAGTGTTTGACAGAAACAATCCGGACAAATGGTTAATGTTCGAAAGTACAGTGTCAAACGGTTCGGAAAATGTAAATTCAAATTCAATACTCATGGCAATGGAAAAACGTACATAAAATCCTAAACTCTAAGCCAAATAAGAATTCTCACCTATTGTATCTCCAATGTGAAGTTGTTTCCAATTGTAATGACAACAACGAGTACCACCGGTGACATCTCCAATGGGTCTTCACCACTGGTTTAGACTGGGACGACAATGAAACAGAAAATGGATGGGAAGATGGAAGATTGTGGGTGGGTGAAGTACGTGAGTGAGTAAGGGTAAAGATGGAAGATTGTGGGTGGAGTGTGTGAGTAAGGATAAAGATAGAAGATTGTGGTGTGTATTGAACAAATGTTTTATTTATCAAATTACTAAAGGTGTGCCTTGAGTAATGGTGTGCCTTGAGATGAAATGTGGTGTGCAAATAGAGGCTCCCTTAATTAGGTCAATAAGGACAAACTGTCGCGCAAAATGACCAAAATACCCATTTTTTATGGACAATCTCCCAACTCTCATTTCTCAAACCCCCTCTCTCTCTCTCTCGCCTCTTCTATTTGATGAGCTCCACGATGGCGATGAGGTCGTTGATGATGACAGCGGTGACAAAGAACTCGAGGGCGACGGAGGCCGTAATGACTAGTTCCACTTCGATCACGATCACTCAGTGGTCCAATGAGTGTCTCAGTCCTTCTCGCCACCCAAATCTCCTCGTCGTTACTCTCATTTACCAGACCTGAACCAATTGCACCAACGTTGATGATTTGAACCACATCGCACTGCCTGTCCTTCTTCGTCTAGTCCTTCGTTTCCGCCACTCAATCTAGACCTCCGACGCAGTCTAGTCTCGGTCTGGTTCCAAGAGAAAAGATAGAGAACATAGTACATAGCCAACTATACATACATTACATACATACTAACTCTCTCTCTCTCTCTCTCTCTGTGTCCAAAAATATAGGTTTATTATTTGACATTGATGACAATGAAACAAATACATCTCTATGTTATGCTCTTTGTTTGAATGTGGACACAGATCTTGATTTGTTAAAAAAAAATGGCTTAGATCTGTTACAGCTTCAAGAAATCAAACGAAAATGGAGGTTTCAACAGATCAACAAATAGGAAAATATCTGATTTGTTGTTGGATATATTGTTGTTGAATATGTTGTCTGAGAAAATTACTAGTAAATTACTCGATAAATTTCGAGAAAATTCTTGTAAATTCTCAGTAAATTACTCAGTAAATTCCAAGTAAATTCCCAGCAAATTCCCATAAAATTTTCATTAAATTACTTAGTAAATTTCTAGCAAATTCTCAGTAAATTATTTAGTAAATTACCACTAAATTCCCAGTGAATTACTCAGTTAATTCCTAGTAAATTCTTAGTAAATTACGTAGTAAGTTACCAGTAAATTGTCATTAAATTCCCAGTAAATTCTCAATAAATTACTCAATAATTTCCCAATAAATTCCCAATAAATTACTCAGTAAATTACAGTGTAAATTCTCATTAAATTATCTATAAATTACTCAGTAAATGTCACGACCCCAAACCGCCCCTAGTAGTTTGGTGCCGTGATGGCCAGTAATCCGAGATTACCGAAGGCCAACTTACAAAATTCACACACATATAGAGTATAGATGCATGGGGCTCTCAAGTGCGGAAGCAAAATTTAGAATACAAGTGGTCCATAAGAGCTGTGCATAAGTCAAATGAGATAGCAACCATTCACACATGGGTTATAACTTAATAACAAACAAGCAAAGTGCAAATTATATTTTTCGTATTAGCAAAGGGCTCCACAAGCCGACGTAAACAAATTGTACGAATTACAGGTTTAAGTACACAGTCTGCCAGGTTGCCGACATCTTCTTTGCCGACATAACAATCATACAAAAACATACATCTTGATCAAAAGGCTTCTCAGCCGATGTGTTCGAAATACAAATATTACAAGTCGAGAAGCATGATTTTCAAGACTGCTGACATAAATGCAGGTTAAGCTGACATAATCAAGACCCAAAACAAGCTCCAGAAATCACATCAAGGCGTCACCGCCTTCTTGTTCATCACCTACATCTATATATAGAGAGGGTGAGCTTGAATACTCAGAGAATGGTATAAATAATAAAGGGGTTTGCATGAATAATAGCCGAAATCCTTTCAAAACAATACAGGACAAACTCTATATATAAAAAGGAATGGACCTCGCCCATCAAACAAATCTTCAAAGTTCCAAGGGATACTTGCTAGCATCATATATCACAAATGACAACATTTCGACAACAGGTCCACGCGATAAACCGTTCGTGGCAAATCAAGACAAAGCAAAAGAGGCATCTCAACCAAGGGTGCTACAAAAGTTTAGAGTCCTCTAGCACAAGGGTCTTTCAAGACAAGATGTGCTGCGAAAGTTTAGAGTCCTCCAACACGAGGGACCTATGTTACAAAGGCCCGTAGCCCTTTAACACTAGAGTACAAATCAAGGGTGCTGCGAAAGTTTAGAGTCCTCCAGCACAAGGGACTTTCAAAACAAGATGTGCTGCGAAAGTTTAGAGTCCTCCAGCACAAGGGACTTTCCAAGAAGGTCATCAAGACAAGGTCATACTTGGTATACAAAACAAGGACAATTATTCATGCTTAACAAACACTTTCAAAACAAAGCAAAGCAAAGTCTTTATCAAAACATATAACATAGCTTTATTAAAAATACCACTCACCTAGTTCTTCAAATGACAGGGTCAAGGCAAGTCCAAGTCCTTAAAACTCGAATCTAACGGTTCAAGCTCCAACGATGAAGCTTGGAAGTCCCCCTTCTCTAGCTCAAACTTCTCCTCCTTCTAACTAGAGCTTCTCTCTCTAAAAAGGCAAGATTCATACAAATGACATGCCTCACACGACAAACACTGGCTTAATCCCTCTGTCGGGACACGTGGCATCGGCCAATTCGCTCAACTCAAAAAGGTGACTGACTTGATAAGACAAGACCAAGACAAAGCGTACTCAACAAGCTAGGTGGTACGAATACTCCGGCGAGTAACCACATCGGCTAACAACAAGACTTCGGAAATCAAAGGGCAAGGACATCGGCTTGGGAGGACAACACTTGACTAAGCTGTGCCACACCTTGGCCTAGATGTGCCACACTTCGGTCTAGGTCACGCCATTCCAGGAACAAAATCACTCATGTGAGGATCAAGGATCTAGAACGCCTAGATATTAACATCTCGGCCCAGATGATGCACATCTCGGCCTAGGCGACGTACACCTCGGCCTAGATGGTGACGTCTTGGCCAATATGCCAGGGTGAAGATGGAGGTCAACCAAAGGGGTTCCAAGATAGTTCTGAGTGATAAAGGTTTCAAAGGTGTCTAGGCTTAAGATGACCTCGGCAACACACCAGACAAGAACAAAGCGTGCAAGCAATTATTCAAGCAAAACAAGGCAAGATTTGCAAATGCACATATTAACACAAGATTATCCACAAATGTATGTAAGTATGACTAAGTCAAAATGAGGGTTGTTACATATTAGATAAGAAAGATTTGAAAAAAACATAATTTGAATAGATAGAATTTGAACAAATAGGAATTTCAATAGATAATTTTTTTGAAAAGATAATAAAATTTGGACAGATATTTGAACAAATAGGGGGGGTGGAAATTGAATAGATAGTTAAAAAATTAAACAGATAAAAAATATTTGAATAAATATTCAAAAGAATTCAACAGATAGATTTAGGGTAAAATAGAAAAAAAATGTCCTCCAAAACAAGAAAATTACTTCTTACCAAATTATTTTACAATGGGTGGATCTGTCATCAATAAAAAAAAAATATTCACTAGTGGACCAAATGCATTCAACAAATTGTTAGATTGGAATTTTTAACAATTTTTTTCTAATTGTATAAGGTTTGGGTTATTTCAGATCAGCCGTCTAACTTGAAAGAAGAGTTTGAGTTTGGTGTGGATATTTTGAACTGATTTTAGTAATCCGAATCATTCACTTTTTGAAATTTATTGAGTAAAATATTCATACAAAAAATGAAGATGATCAGACATCAGTAATTATATATTTAAATTGCGTTTATATTATAAAAAAAAATTATAGATATTCTTGAAATTATATTTGTCGTACATATTTTTAATACAAATGTAATTTAAACATAGAGCTATCGATATACGTTCATCTTTATTTTTTGTATAAATATAATACTCAACAAGTTTTAAAAAGTGAATGGCTCGAATCATAGAATGCAATCCTAGTAAGAGCCCATTAAACTTAATTACTCTCTTAAGTAGAATGGCCAATTTAAAAGAATCAAAAACCTGATATCATGTTTATTTTGATTGAAAACCAGTGTATAGGTTATTGAGTACATCAATTAATTTTAGTCAATGTTGCAATATAAAAAAAAAAAAAACAAATCAAATAATGTGATAGACATTTCCCTTTCATAATACTACATAAAATAAACAAATTATATAGATAATCAATTTTAGGAGTAATAAAAAAAAATTTCTAGAGTTTAGCCTTTATAACAAAATAAATCCAAACAATTATGAGGTGAAAAAAAGTTAATGTGTTTGGAAAAAAATAATTAAATGGATAATTGTGGAAAAAAAAAACGTGATTAATTAATGTGTATAATAGAACCTTTTGTTATTGAGATTGAATTTTTTAACTTTGTGGCAATGATCCTTTAGGTCTCTTTTGGGGATTAAACACTTTAACTTAAGAAAATCAAAAGGTCACTATAAATTATCAAATCTCTCTCTATTTTTCTATATATCATTTTATAAAAAATTAAAAAATTATTAAAATAATTTGTTCCCCAATGAGACCTTAATAACACATAAACTAAGAGCACAAAAAATAAAATAAGATAAATAGTCCCAAGTCCTTGGCTCTATAAATACATACGTTTGGCTCTCCTTTGGTGTATATAAGTTGATCATCAGCTCCATTTCTCATCATAACAATATTCTATTTTTGACACCAAATGGAGCAAACAAATTCAACTTTTCTCAGTTGTCTACTTAGTACATCTGTAGTTTGTTTCATTTTCTTTCTCATGAACTCTCCTGAACTAATTACCACTGCCAAGGGCAATCCTAGTTTAGTTCTCACCAACGAGACAGACCATCAGACACTTCTTGCAATCAAGGATTTGATACAAGGAGATCCTTTGGGTGCCTTAAGCTCATGGAATCATTCAATTCACTTTTGCAATTGGCAAGGAGTCTCATGCGGTCGTCGACATCAACGTGTGGCACTGCTAAACCTGTCATCTCTTGCATTGGTAGGCTCTGTATCTCCTCAAATTGGGAACCTCACCTTCATTAGGAGGGTTGATCTAGGTAACAATAGCTTTCACGGCGAAATCCCACAAGAACTTGGCAAGTTGTTTCGTTTGTAGTACCTTCTGCTTTTGAATAACTCTTTCCAAGGTGAATTTCCTACCAATTTGGCTCATTTCGAACTTGAGAGTTATGCATATGGGTGGTAACAATCTAGGAGGTAAAATTCCTACAGAGCTGGGTTCCTTGTCCAATCTCTCCCACTTGATTCTTGCAGCCAATTATCTCTCTGGAGCTATCCCACTTTCAATTGGGAACCTTTCCAATCTACAGAACCATTCTCTACCGTTAAATAATCTAGAGGGAAGCATTCCCACCCAACTTGGGCAGCTTTACAAGTTGGAGATTCTTCAGCTACCGGTAAATAATTTTTCCGATATGGTTCCTACTTCGCTTTACAACATCTCATCAATCTATTACTTCTCTATCAATGCCAACCAATTGCATGGAATTCTACCATCAGATTTAGGCTTGACCCTTCCAAATTTACTAGGATTTTATGTTGCACTCAATCAATTCTATGGCCAAATTCCATCGTCAATAGTCAATGCTACAAGACTTGTGCAAATTAGTTTAAGCAGCAATTCCTTTACTGGGTCCATACCTATGAATCTAGGAACGCTTCATGCTTTAGAATTTTTTGGTGCTTATGAAAATTCACTTGGAACAAACCAAGGCAATGAATTAATGAGCTTCCTCACTTCTTTATGCAATTGTTCCAATCTACGAGTTCTAGATTTGAGAACCAATCATTTTAGAGGTTTTTTGCCGCATTCTATTGCAAATCTCAACCAAGATCACTCGGTTCATTCTACAATACAACTATATATCTGGAAGCATACCTCCTGGTATTGGAAACCTTGTAAATTTGGAATACCTCATTCTAGATGATAACAAGCTCACAGGTAGTATTCCAACTTCCATTGGAAAACTCTCCATGTTGGAAATCCTCTCGCTTGACAAAAATAACATCTTTGGAGAGATTCCATCGTCTATTAGAAACTTGAGTAGGCTTGGTGCACTTGACTTGTCAACAAATATGATTGAGGAAAGCATTCCTGTTTGTTTAGGCAATTGTACCAATCTACGACAAATTTATCTTCATAACAATCATCTCACAGGGGCAATACCTCATCAAATCTTTGGTTTGTCTTCCCTTGTTATTCTATCCTTAAGTCAAAATTACTTAACAGGACTACTACCACATGAAGTGGGTCACTTGAAAAATCTGGGTGGAGTATATGTATCAAAAAATCAGCTATTTGGAGAAATCCCCGCCACTCTCGGCAATTGTGAAGTTTTAGAATTCCTCTACATCGATGGTAACCTCTTCGAAGGTACAATTCTGATGGCCTTCAGTCAATTGAAAGGTATTCAAGAACTAGATGTTTCTAGGAACAACTTGTCGGGACAAATTCCAAGGTTTCTCGGGGAGTTTCGGTTCTTTCAATATCTCAATCTTTCCTACAAGATGTTTGATGGTGAAGTTCCAATTAGAGGAGTTTTCACAAACATTAGTGCCTTCTCAATTGTTGGAAATAGTAAGCTATGCGGAGGAATTAAAGTATTGCAATTGCCTGCATGCCCAATGAAAGTCTTAAATGAAAGGAAATGACCTTTCAACCATAGAGTAATAGTTCTAATAGTTACTCTCACTATTGTTCTATTATCATTGTGCATTTTAACTATTATTTACCGGAATAAAAGGTCAAGACAACAAGTCAAATTAGCCTCACCTTTGCAAAACCAATATTTACAACTCTCTTTTGGAGAACTTTTTCAAGCAACAAATGGGTTCTCTCCATCCAACTTAATTGGTGAGTGAGGATATGGCTCTGTTTATAAAGGGATTCTCAACTCCGATGAGCAAATTGTTGCTGTGAAGGCGCTCAAACTACATGAACGTGGAGCGAACAAGAGTTTGTTACAGAATGTGAAGCATTGAAGAACATTTGCCATCGAAATCTAGTCAAGATAATTATAGCTTGCTCAAGCATTGATTTTAAAGGCAATGACTTCAAGGCTTTGGTCTTCGAGTTCATGGAAAATGGGAGCTTAGAAAATTGGTTACACCCAAGTCTTTTAGAGCAACATGAACCTAGGAACTTGAGCTTTGTTCAAAGGCTAAACATTGCCATTGATGTGGCATGTGCATTGGATTATCTTCACCATCATTGTGAAATGACTTTTATTCATTGTGATTTAAAGCCAAGTAATATTCTTCTTGACGGTGATTTGTGTGCCCATGTGAGTGATTTTGGTTTGGCAAAGATTTTTTTAGCAACCAATGGAATTTCTATTCATCAACAATCAAGTTCAATTGGGATTAGAGGAACAATTGGCTATGTTGCCCCAGGTACTTGTTTATTGCTTCTTATGTTGAAATTGATTAAGAAATGTTATTTAGTTACATTATATTATTATCTTGTGGTGAACTAAAAAACCAATTACGAGATTATATAGAAATTAAGCCATGTTTTAGAGATGACTTTTTTTGACTTTGCCTTATTGTTTGTATAGCTACCACAACAAATTAAATCCACCATTGTCCTACCTCTATGGTATTTGAACATAGATTTTAACCCTTGAGATAATTTCATCTTTTGAAATGTTGAACTTTTTTTTCAGCAAAAGAAATACAACTTATTAGTTCAGCAATCTTACCAAAAGTAAAAATTTTGGGCATTTTTTTAACTATTTCATATTGCAGAGTATAGTATGGGTTTGGAGGTATCAATGCAAGGTGATATGTACAGTTATGGAGTGTTACTACTAGAAATGTTCACAGGAAAAAAACCAACTAATAACACATTTACAGGCAATGTAAACCTCCATAGCTATGTACAAATGTGTCTTTCGGAGCAAGTAATGCAGATTGTTGATCCCCAAACCATATTGGAAATGGAAGAGGAGCCAAGTAGGAGCATGCAAAGTAGTACAACCAACATTTCTAAACTAGAGGCTTGCCTAGTACCAGTCTTTCAAATTGGACTTTCATGTTCTGCTGAAAGGCCAAGTGAAAGAATGAGTGTAAAAGATGTTCTCAAAGAACTACACAAGATTAGAAATGTATTTCTTGGGGTTAGGGGACAAAGGCATTAGGATGGAAGAAGAAATGATTCTTAACTAAAGCTGCATCTGTAGGTTATTTTGATGTTCTAGGATTTTCTTTCCCTCACTTTTCTTCTCTGCATATGTAATATTTATGCTAGAAAAGGCATGAAAGTGGTTGTACTTGTGGCATTGTCATCAAATATTTATAGCTAGTTAAGGTTTCTACATGTTTATATGTATGCGTTCTCTATCTAGTTTTGTCATAGTATCATTTTTTGGTTTATGCTCTCAAGTAGTTCTATTGTACATAAGAGAGCTTGCTCAAAACTAAAAACTGATGCCATAGAAGCTAAAAGAGAAAAACAAAAACAAAAAAAGATTTAGCTCATAGTATGATGGATTATGAAGTTATCATACATCAAATACTAACCAATATCAGTCATATAAATTATTGAGCAACGGGAAAAATGTTTCATTTTTGTTGATTTCACTCTCATCATATATTAATCTAAAACTTAATCTGATGGTGTAATACTATCAATGACATATTAGTTAGATGCAAACTTAATCAATGTATATAGCTAATGCGAAATCTGAATAATCTTTATTATGAGGAAAACAAAAATTTACTGGTAGAAAGTGTGAAAAAAATAAAAAAAACGCAATGCTAGCAATAATCTTCTAGTCTATAACCTACCTATAAAGGCAAGAAAATCTGCCTCTAACATCAGTGTGTCTAACCTAGGTGAAATGGAAAATTAACCCTTGTTGAAGATTTCTGAGCAAGATCTCCATCAGTGGGGTCTTCTCCAGCAAGCTGCTCATCACCTCTTCCCGCGTGTGTTGCTGCAGCTTTCTACTCAGGCTTCTTCCACAAGTTCTGCTATTTTAAGAGGTGTAAACTGTTGCCTTGCTGCAAATTACTGTGAGTTTGGTCCGAGAAACAAAAGAGGCATGACATTCCTCAACATCCATATTCCAGTAGCTGTGAATTCCATTTCTTACTGCCATTGTCCTATGTTTGCTTCATTGAAAAATGTTTTTAGATGTTTTCTTATGAGCTTGGTTAGTGTCGACATTGAATTGAATTTGTTTTTTTGTTCAAATTAATGTTCATGCATTTGTGGTTTGGTTTGAAGTTCTTATTAATATCTATAAATGAATCCCTTATTCCTACTTGAGCCTCAACATTTTAAGCTTCAGTTGAAGTTGGTTTTTTTTTAAATAAGTACTTAAGAACAACAAAGTCAGTAGTTGATGTTGAAGCACCATTAAGAAGAATGGGAAGACAATAGTTTTTTAACAAAAGAAGAGAAGACAATAGTTCATTTGATCTTAATACAATTATCTGCCTTTGTTCAAGTGAGCATTCAGTAAATCAAAATAGTAATTTGCACAAGATATTGAAAATTCCTTGTTTTCGTTTTGTTGGTTGCTTGGAGATTGTTTGAATATAATTTGAATTAGTTTTCTTTGTGTTTTAATAAAATTTGAATTACCAAAAAATTTTTTAAAAATTGAATGTTTGTAACTTTGTAAATGCATCGAGTTGTGTTTAGTCTTGTGTGGATGCAACACAACTTAACTTTAGATGAGTTCAATTCCAAAGTGATCTTTTAGAGTTTGTTTTGTGCCAATTCAAATGGCTTACAATTTTTTTCGTTTGTTTTTCAATTTTTTTATTGCTAATGATATTAAACATAGTTCAATTACCTTTTAAGCATAATTTTAGTTGGATTTTCACTGTGAATGAAAAGATTAGAGAAGCCATTGTTCCTTAAGTAATCTTTTCAAAGATTTTAATTCTGGTGAGAGAGGTGAATTTCAAATTTTTTAATCTTAGTTGCTTTCCTCATTCATGCAATATCTAATTGTCATGATCTTAGGTGACATTTGCGAGGTAGTTTGGATATTTTGCAATCTTACTTGGACTGCTTTTATATGATCTGTAGTGAAATAGTAAATGTTAGCAATTCAAAACTCTTTCAGTGCCAACAGTAAACAGTCCTTCCAAAAGTGTTTTAGTAGAACAACAAAGCTAACCCCGAAGTCAGTTTAGGATCTAAATCTGCCTAGATATAGAGAACTCTTAGTAAAATAAAACTTCGTTTGTTTTATAGCCGCGTAGTTGATACCAATGGATATGAATATTGCAAATTACATTTTTTGTTTTTCAAGAATATTTTCAAACTCATCCATTTTTATTTTTTTTCATTTCAAACTCTTCCATTTTCATCATTAGAAACACAAATTCTTGTATTACAGGTTTGCATAATTATAGTGAATTCTCCAAGGCACTAAATCAAGAAAGGAATCATAAGTGTCAATTAGGCCATATTTGTTGACTGTAATCATAGCTAGAATACTATATATGGAGCATATTGAGTTACTTGGGTTTAAGCTCAATTAGGAGCTTTTTCTCAATGCCAACTTCTAGAGTTCTTTGATTTTTCAAGTTGATCCCAAACTTGACTCATTAAGCACCAAGAAACCATCCTTCTACATGAACCAAGCTACTTAAGCTTGGGATTGGTTTCCACTCAATCAAAGCCCAAGCGTGATATTTTTAAGCAACATAAAAGAAAATGTCATTTTCACATCATCTACTCCACTCAATACATTTACCTTTAATTGATTAATTTCTTACCCTCTACTCCACTCAATACATTTACCTTTAATTGATTAATTTCTTACCCCCCCTTTTCTTTCTCAGGTCTTGAGAACATTATTCATTGTAAAGAAAGGAGGTTAGCCCTGATTGAAACCCTATTGTGAGTTTGGGATGACAGATTTCTTAACACTACTTTTCATTAATGAATTTCAACCCTCCCCCTATTTTCTTGTTTCAGTGGACTGCCTATAATGCCAACCTAGGGCTCCTATTTGTGCTCTGGAAAGCTTCCGGTTTGGCAGTGAACACGAATACACTGTATGCTTACAGTTTGGAATTCATTTTCTACATACTCTTAGCGGTGGCTCCTGAATTTCGTTTTCAATCGTCATGAAACCCTCTTCCATCAATTGTTATAGATCTTCAATTCAGGGAAAAGCCTTTTGCTTTCTCTTAACCCCCTCTGGTATGTACCTCATTTGTTTCTCTTAATTTAGTATAATTATCTTAATTTCTTAATCCATTTTTGCATCAATAAATGGAATATCTGTTAGTGTTTAAAATTTTTTGTTTCCTCTCTAGCTGAGATGCAACAATTACATTCTTTAGTTAGGTTTTGGAGAGAGTGATTCTCAAGTTCATTGACTCCATTGATGGAAGCATGCCAGCTATTCGCTAAAATTCCTGTAAGAGCATTTCTTATGTTTTTTTTTTTTTTTTTTTCTCTCCTCGATTTGTTTACTTTGTTTTTGGTAGAAGTTGTTTGCTACCTTATTCCAAACATGCCTTCACTGCTCAATTGTTTGGTATAAGATACAAAAACTATAAAACCAAATTTGGGAAATGGATTGTGTGAAGTATGGTATGGAGAGAAGATATTCACATCTCATTTTGCATTCTTATGTTTTTTCAGACATATGTACATAGGAAAATCATGATAATTGATGACTGTATATCCTTGATAGGATCAGCTAATATAAATGACAGGAGTTTACTTGGATCAAGTCAAGAGATTCTGAGGTATCAACTTAAACTTTTGGATCCTTTTGCATTAATGTTTTCTATTCTTTGGCCAGCTATTTTAAATTGCAGAACTGGATACAATATGATTTATCGCATAGTTGATTGCATAATGGAACTCATTCATTTTTCATTACCCTTTCTTTCAGAAACTATAAACATGAGCTCTGTATTGAAGGTGGGGCAAAGAATTTCTGTGCAAATTTGTAGGTTTTTTTGGGGAAAAAATAATGCTTGGTTCTTAATATATAGTCTGCAAGTTTAAAATTTTTGCATTTGTGGACTCTCTTTGTTCCTTTTTTTAAAAAAAAAATAAAAATAAATAATTGTGAAGTGAACCATTGATGCTCTTTGCATAATGATTGAAGAGGCAATCAGAAGAGTGGTGGAATCATCTGATCTACAGATTATAAGATTAGATAAATTTTTGTGATTACTTTCTTATTTTTGAGTTCTTTTGGTGCCTCGGTATTATATGAATATTACCTTTTTTTGGTTCAAGCGAGAACAACTTTCACAGATGGATTGATAAGTCACCATTTCTCAATAATACAAGTTGTTGAACAATTCAATTTTGTTTTTACCCCTTTAAAATGTACCAATTAATAACTAAAGTAGTAGATACAACTCTTTACTTTAAGATTGTTGCTCTTAACCCATGGAATTTTGTTGTTATTGCTGACTTCTTGAATTGTTTCTCCATTTAGTCACAGCCAATCATATTACTGGCAACTCCAACTTCTTCTTGGCAAACTACACATCTATCATGATATGCCCTTCCATTTCAATGAACAAATCTCCTCCCTTTTTTGAAGTAGTTTCTCTTGGCTGTTAACAAAAATGCTGTTGATTCAGATTGGTGTACTTATTGAAGACAAAGAATATGTTGATTCATGTATGGGAGGAAAGCCTTGGAAGGAAGGAAAATTTTCTTCGAGTCTTCGCCTTATGCTATGGTCGGAACACCTTCGTCTTCCAGCTAGAGAGGTTTGTACATCTACCAAAATAATTTTTTATTTTCTTTCTTGTCATAATGACTATAGCCAAGCCACTGTTAACGAGCTACACCTGGATACTGTATTGTGACAGAATTGATTGGAAAGATCCCTCCATTTTTCATTTTCTTTTTTTAATTGACAGCTCATTAGGCTGTCATTAGGCATAATCCAAACTTCATTAGCCATTTAATAACCACCAAGAAAAAATATAAACTAAGAAAATCACTTGTCAGACTTCGTTTAACATAACAAAATATTATTATTTGTGTTTTGAATTAATTCCTCTCTTTTTTTCTTTTTCTTTTTTTTTTTCTCTGTTGTTAATTGTTTGATAAATTGTCTTTTTCTTAGGTTCTAAAACTTGTTCGTTTTGTCCCATGTGCTTAGTGAATAACTTGAATGATGATGACCTTCATCTA